GGGGTCTCGCCGGGGTTCGGGGCCTCGCTCGCCGCTGCGCCGAAGGGATGGAGGAGGGGAGCGAAGCGCCGTGGGCCCTGCGAGCCCCTGAAACCTCCCGGCACTCCGTTTCTCTTAAAAATGGAGCTTTCCGAGCTACCCCAGAGATCTCCGTGTGTCTGAGCTTTAGAAAGCGAAGGCACATTTTGTTCTCACTGCCATTGCGCTGAAACAGCTGAAATATTCTGTCTCAGCGATATTAACCAGAACTGTGCCGTTTAAATTCAGCTGTGTGCGTTAGCAGACACGTTTGCGATGCCTGGTTCTTCTGACTCTGAAACAACTGTGAAAGTAGAGAAAATATAAATATTCCAGCAAGATGCAACCATGTATTCGTAGAAAATAAATATTTATGAAATTCCTGGAACTAAAACCTTGTCCTCCCCGCAGCAGGTGCTTGTTTGTCGGATGTTAAATTTCTGCGGAGCCGGCGTGGATGGCTCCTCCTTGCGCTCATCCCCACCTCCCAGGCGAACAGTTACGGCGTGCGCAGTATTTGTGGGAGCCTGAAATTTCAAGAAGCGCATTGAAGCCAAGCAGAGGTTCTTGGCTTTACGAGTATCACTTCTTAATAACATTGTAACATTTGCTGTTTGCCTTTTAGCCATTTATTTCTGTGTTTTTATTGAACGTGGCTCAGAGAAAAGAGGGTATAATAGGTACCCAAGCCAATACATCTTTACTCTGTTGGAAAAACAGCTGATTATGCTCTCTAACAAAGCTGATCCCTCTGAAAGCTTCTCTACGGACTTGAACAGTTTATTAAAGTGACTAGATATTTCAAATTACATGTTTGACTAGGGGAGTAGCATGGATTTGCTTCCTCTCAAATTGGTAACAGAAGTTTTGGTGAGAACAGCACGGCAGCTGAAGTTGGAGGATGCAGCAGCAGAAGCAAAGGCCCTTATCTTTCAGTCTTACAGGGATCCCATTTCTCATTCCCTCAGCCCCTCCATCCAGAAAACCTTTGTCTTTCCTGGCTGTAGATCTATGGTGGTGGATCAGTCACATGTTTGAAACTGAAGAAAAGGGTGATATATGTTGTTTTGGCAGAGCTTTCTTGTGTCTTCCCTCCCCTACCTCAAATGTGGAATTTCATGTTCTTGGATACTGTGCCCAGCATTAGATTTCTTAAGTTGTTTTCCAGATCACCTGATTCATTGTAGGACATTTACAGCTCTTCTACAAATGCTACACTAATTCAAAGTGTTTACAATATTTCCCTAATAAAAGGTTTAAAAAATTCTATTCTAGTCATTTGTGTTTTCATGCCAAATCCGTACCCAAAATATGAACAACATTCAGCTTTAAAATAGATGCAAATATTGCCTATTGTGCAGATTTATTGAGAGTCTTGTGTTTTTACAGTCGCCTCTGAATTGAAGTGAGTCACTGCAAATGTGACGTGATAAGACAGTAACTCGGCCGCTGCCTTTAGCATCTTCCCAGCAATTTCACCAGGGCTTGCGCTTGGCTTTCCTCACCGCCCTTTCCTCTTTGACACGCACTTGTCTTTGTTTCCTCCAAGAGGGGTGGTAACGAAAGCCGTGTCTAAAAGCCGATCAGGAAAGGGGAAATCGTGAAGTACGTAACAGCTCTGACACCTTGTGCATGCCACAATGGCTACGTCCCGTTGGAGCAGCTGACTCCGGCCCTCAGGAGCTGCTACAACAGCTCCTCGGGGAGAGCGTTGTTCCAAGTATATCAAAGTGTTGGTCAAATCCTGCATGTTTGTACTTGTTAAGTGTGATACCTTCAGCCTAACTGCAGAATCTTTTGTGACTTACAGCTAATACTAATTTCAGCAAACAGTATTTTGCGCTGCCCTGCCCTGCCCATGTTGTTGAGAGTCCACTCAGGACAATGACTGTAAATCAAAGTGCTTCGCTTGCATCATCTGCGCCAGCCTGGAGTTTCCTTTTGCTTTCAGGAGCTTGCAGCCAAGTGTCAGCACGCGTTTCCACTTCTTTCCCCAATTCCTGACACACAGTGCTTTGGTGTCTTCCCTGTCTCCCGCAGCAGAACAAAATATGGAATGAGAATGCACTTCAAAATGAGAACTCACTGCTTTAAGATTTCCTGGCAACATATCTTGAAAAATCTATGTAGGAAAAAAAATGTTAACAATTATAATGGAGATCAAATATTGGACCTGAACCACATAACTGTTTCCCTTCTAACTTAACGCACAGACATCTCAAACCAAGGGTATGAGTGGGCTGAAACAACTAATCGCATTTTGGCACAGACAAGTACAAAAGGAAACCCAGAATTACTAATTCAACAGCTTGAAATATCAGCTGCTGCATGCAAGATCTTTAAAGAGCTCCTCTGAAGAGAACATACCCTTTTAAACTTGTAATTTTTCATTTAAAAAAATGTCAAAAAATATCTCAGGGAAAAATATGGAAGAAACCAGCACTGTTGACATAAAGCCTGAATCCACTGAAATCTAATAGATGTGCCTCTGCACCTAATTTCATCACATACATTCCTCTCAGCTATCAGGGTTCTATCACACATTTTGTCTGTTTTCCGTGCATATGTTCAGAAATTTTGTTCAGCAGTAAAAAGCAGCTCCATAAAGGGAGAAGCAATATAAAAGACAGAGTTGTTCAAGGAGGTGTAGCAACGTCCTACAAAGCAGCATGTGTGTCCCCCATGGCTTCAGAGTCGCAGCATTTGGACACGTCTTTGCTCCAGACACTTGCTGGAGACCTTCAGTGTGGAACTCCCTCCGCGGGTCCCTGGGGACCACACAACTGAAGGCACGAGGAAGCACATTCATTTGCCCTTCACAGAGAAAGCAAATGAGCAGCTATGATCCTGCGGCAGGACGTAGCTAATGGGTACAGCCCCACCACTCAGGAGGGGCTCCCATGTCACAGCACCTTTTGTCACCAATATGACACGAATGACCCAAGTGGATTTGGCATCTTCATTCCACTCTTCCTCTGGCATCAGCAGCTGATCCAAGTGACTCAGAAACAGCTTCTTCAAAACAGAGTATTATCTGAACATTATCTGCTCACCCAAATGATACACAGCAACCAGATAAAAATGAGAAAAAGACTCCATCATTCCTTGCCTATGCTGTATCTCAGATTTTGGGTAAATTACACTGAAAGCAGCTACCTCGTTCCTTGATGTGTGGGAGGGAAGACAGCTTCTCTTCTGGCTTGTTCTCTTTGTTACTGCAGGCTTTGATCCTGTGCTTGGACCAGCTGAAGAGCAGCCTAACAGAGTGGGTAGAGACAGACAGATAGGCATGCCCACTATTATTGGCTCTACCATTGACCTCTTCCAGGCTGCTGGTATTTTCGTATTGACGTTATCTATCATCCTTTGGTTTTCCTTTTAAAAAATAAAAGTTTTCCTGCTCTGGCCTACAGAACAGCAAAAAGCACATAAATTGGCAAGGGAGATCCTTGATTTTTCATACAGGTAATAAATCTAGAAGCCCAAAATCTGATCTCTTAAATAAAATGTCAGGGTATTATTCCTTGAGATATGTGGAGTTCACCGATGCTGAAAGGGGAGGATCCAGCTCTTTCTTCAAGCCTTGCCCTTCCTTCTCTGCTGCTGGCTGCACATCCTTCTACCTTGTGCTGGCTCTGCCGTTCATTGAGAGCAGATGTCAGTCACTGAAGTAGTAAAAAAACAATCCATCAAAAAGTGAATAATTTTCTGCCGTATTAAGAAATTTGGTAAAGGGTCTGACAAGTGTCTGAATCAGCACAGCCAGGAAGCTGGGCCTTGCAATTAGAAGCGAGGAAGGCAGGAAGGGTGAGATGTTCTTTTAGAGGGAGAAGGCTCAGTGGTTGTTTGGCTGAGTCTGTATGTAAAACTCAGAAGGAAAGAAGAGGGAAAAATAGGTTTGAAGACCACTTATAATAACAGCATCTCAAATCCTTCTTGGTCCACGGGATGGCTTTGGAAGTGTCCTGGCACATATTTCTTGCTGCTCATACACAGCTGCAATCCGATGGATCTTTAGCTGCTCCAGTCCAGCTTCAGCAAAGCTGCATTTGAGGAAAAGTGACTGAGCATTAAAAATGAGTTACTAGAAAAAAGGAAGCATTTCTTTCCCTCAGCAATATTCCTCAATGTCAAGGAGCTACTGGCAGCACTCGGCCTCGGGGACTATGCCTGAAGAGCTGCAGCAGAAAAAACCTCTCGCTGTTACATGTAAGCGCCAGGATGCTGTTCTCCATCCCACCCAGGCACAGAAATGGCCCTGGAGATCCGCGTATTTTAACCTTCAGACTTTATTACCATTAATTATATCTCAAAGTGAAGCCAGGATCCCTGAGAACACGGTGGCAGGAACAAAACACAATCATCCATCTGCCTAGCAACACGGGTTGCCATGAGTACTTCTCCCCGTGCTCCACAGGCAGCGGGGGCTCGCCACTGAACACTGAGCCAAGTTCAAGGGCCCCATACTGGTAAAGAAAGCCTGCTTCCTCGAATGACAACCTTGGTTTCCATATCCAAGACACCTGTGTTCCTCCGGAGCCTACAAGGTGTCAGCCAGCAGCATGAAATTCAGAAATAAGGGACTTCTGGAGCAGCAAGGCATCGTCAGTGGAACTGCTCTTGCGAGAGACAAAAGCAATGACGTTGGCAACACGAATGCAAACTCCATTCTTCCCTTCTCTGTTTCTTTTGAAAAAGTTCTTTGCTCACGTTTCAATACCATGCCAAAAAAATCCCCAGATAACATACTATCAAATCACTGAATTTACGTACTTAGGAAGAAAAGAAGAAAAACCTACGAGTGGAAATACTCTTTAACGTCCCTAGCTCAGGAGGTCCTTGAATCACAAACCATTTGTAGGAGGCTGAGAGAGACAGAATTCAAGAAACCCGTTTGCCTGGTTCTCCACTGAGCGCCTGCTTTAGGCCTCGCTAGAAGAAAGGATACTCAACGGGACGGACCTTTGCTATGACCCAGGAGGCTTGTTTTGGTGTTCTTAAAAAAGCAAGACTCTTTGATCATTGTGTAATATTTAAGGGAGGCCCTCTAATAATGTAGTTATGTAGAAGCTGTGTAAAAATAGAGATGTATGAGAAAAACACAAAATCATAGATTTCAGACTGACATTTGGACAATCACAATTGAATGGGAATGTTGAACACTGGAGCTATGTTTATGGTACTAACTGTGAAGTCAGCCTTTAAAAAAAGCTCTTATTTCATTGTTTGTTATATGATCACATGCAATTTAAGGGTATAAAGACCATGGCATGGGTAAGCTGGCCCAAAGTACATTTTACAAAGCTGTCAGCTGTGACACAGGAGTAGTTAGCTTTAGGATGAGAGGAGGAACTAAGGTTACACATCTGAATGATCATATATAGCACTTAATCAGTTTGCATGAGGCATGATATAATACTTTTTAATAGTTAGGAAAATCCTCCTAGTGCATGAGCAGCAGAACTACTTTATTTTAGATCATCTGTCAAGATTATTTGAGCATGGAGATGTTGCTGTACTCAGTAGGTCAGCAATAATCAAAACCAAA